ACAACCAAAAGTTGTATGTGTGGCTAGTTGTACCCTTATCATAATTGTAAACATTGTTAATTATCTAATAAAAAGCCCCTGGCCATAGAGGTCACCTTAATACTGAAAAAAAAAAAGAAATACTTAGGAAATTAATAATAGAAACTGGTTTAGTAAAGATAAATTAGAAAAAAATATCTTAGATAATATGATAAAAGAAATTGCACATGTTTTAGATATTAATGTTGATGATCAAAGAATTACAAATTATTTGAAAAGAAGAACTGCTATTTAACTTTTATCAGATCTTAATATTAATGAGCAAGAAATAATGCAATTTTTAATTCATCGCTCAGCTAATAAACTGCATACTCATAAAAATCCTAATAATCAATAACAGCTTAAAAACTCTACTTTGTTACTTAATGCAATTCAAGAATCTTCAATTGTAAAACAAGAATCTCATCAAGAATATCAAGTTATACAACAAGAATCTCAAGTTATGCTACAAGAATCACAACAAGAATTTCAAGTTATACAACATAAAGATTTTCAAATTACAGAACATGAAATTCAAGTCATACAAGATGAAGGATTTCAAAATACACAACAAGTCACACAAAACAATTCTTCAATCATGCAAGAATTTAATACTACCTTTACTCAAGTTAAATCGCAAGTTTCACATAAAAATATTCATAAAAAAACTAAAGCTTATATACAAAGAAGTTCAAGCAAAGCTGAACAAGCCATTCTGAATTCTATTTAAAGATGTTCAAGATCAAACCAATTTATTGAAATAGCAAATAATATTCAACAGATTAAAACAACAAAAGATACTCTACCAATTGAAATAACAAAAAATATCCAACATATTAAAACAACAAAAGATAACCAACTAATTGAAATAACAAAAAATATGCAATATATTAAAACAACAAAAGATATCCAATATATTGAGAATATTAAAATGACAAAAGATGGAACTATCAATATTTTCAAGTTTTATAATTTCAGAAATATTAAAATTATATTTAGTAACAAGTAGAGCAACAATAAA